AAGCCATGGAGACCATGGTAAAATAGAAAAAAGAAAGAAAAAGGTACGGACACAACATGTGCGTGATTGAAGTGATATAAACTGATACGTGTCGATGGTAATCCGCGGCCGATCGACCGCGGCCGAAAAAACACGCCAATTCGACGTGCCGATTTATGCGCCGCGTAAAGAATTCCGCGGAACGGAAACATGTTCCTCAATTACGTAGATCATTGTAGACGAGCGGTCCCATCCGTAGCAGGACATCACCGTAAAATTAGAGGACCGTTAAAAGACGCGAGTTTATTCTTCCGAGTGCGCGTGCACAGTCGGCCAGTAGCCAATGAGGCAGTGCCTTATTAAATAGTGCCTTGTAAATATATCGTTTCAATTCAACTGAAAATGAGCACAGATGATTTCTCCCAAATATCCCGAAATATCGCGTCAGTCCTTTTTGTCTCTTATCTCATCGTCCTATCCTTTTTCCTTTTTCATTGAACCTCCTTGTAAATAAGTTACATGAATACTATATTTTAAGTGCCTTACGCAACAAGAATCACCGAGGTCTTCCATTCTGTTTCTTGTACGTAAAACTCTAAGCGGTTTGTAGAATATCGTTGTAAGTACGAAGAATGTTTTTAATCGATACGATTTTAGACTTAAGATTTATGTTAAGGAAACGAGCGCAAGTAAAAGTGTGTATGAGAAAAATTGTACATATGAACGAAAATCGCGAAAGAGAAAACGTTATTTATATTTATACGAATGCAAAAGAGGTTACATTTATAATTCCTCTCTATTGTGAGAATAGACAACCAACGCTTATTACTGCAAGAGCATCAAATAAATGTTGATCTCTTTCTCAATACAATTTTTATGTTGTTTATAAATCAACCAGTTCCCTCTTAATCCATTTCCTCAATATAATCATACAAGTATATATTTTATATGTTCACTCTGATTTTCGATTTATTTTTATTTTATCTAACTGTATACTTATAAAAAATATATTATCTTTAAAAGCTTAAAAAATACTTGCAATATATAAAAATTCAAATATTTGGCTTCAATGAAAAATGCAAGCGACAGAATTTCGAAGTAAAATATTTTCGCTTTTGATGCTTGTGCTCCCATCAGCTTCTCGTACATCCAACTCGCTGCACGTTGCTGCACGTCTTAAACGAGACTAAACGGAGTTCGCGACAGCGAAATGCTCTGTCTAGGTGCTGCCATCTGGTGAAGAAACGTGGCGTTATACCTAAGAACCGGTCTGCGATGACCATCTCATCTTGTCCGACCAGGCCCAAAATTTCTCCCCTTTGCCTAAAGTACCAAATGCCAGAACCTGCTGCCTTCTACTGGATCTGGTTGGAACACTGTTGGACCCTTTATAAGACCCTGAAAGAATTTAAATTCTTTTCTCATCTGATAATAAAGATTAGCAAATTATTTCTATGGGTGAATAAAAGGTAATATTTCATTTTTTCTTCAACAAAAATAAATTTCAATCTTCTATCTGATTATTAATCAATCAAAATGCGAAAAATAATTATTGCTATTTATATTAATAATTTTTATTTTGTTCATTTTATTTATATTATCGATGAGGCAATTGATTACATTTACTGCCGCCTGAAACAATAAAGCTGAAATACAGATTATCAGACACCACCAAATCTAATCACCGAACTGAATCCTAAGCAGAGATCGCAATAGCTGATTATTGCACTCGCTTTCTCTCGCCGCCGAATGTTAGTAATTTTCCAACGAGTAGTCAGCATTCACTATACGATTTAAAGTAGATAAGGCTGTCTCGGCGCGGTCAGTTACAATGTATGTTTAAATATCGTAGCCGGCAGTCACGTGCACTTCGCTTGCTCGTAAATTTATCTGTTATTTCCAGCCTGTATATATTGTTATATATATATATATACAGGATGTTTCATTTTAAGTGATATAGTCGATTATCTCGCGAATCGATGATTTTATTGGAAAATTTTTCGAACGAAAGTTGCATGGTTTGAAGGGGGACACACGATGGAAATGTGGACTTGACCTTGAGTGACCTTGTCAAAATCAGGTCAAGGTCATTAATGTTTTTTTAAATGGAAATCCCTATTTTTTATTACATATTCTTGTAACTTATCTCGAGAGCTTTCCAAAACACTATAATTAAATTATCATTTTCATTAAGTATCATTTTCATTAAATACTTTTCGAGTTATGAGGCTTGAAGGTTACAATATCGCCGGCATTAGCATTACGCAAGGTGTCTGACCGACGGCTAAAATCTCTTGTTATTCAAAATCATGTGAATGACATCCTGAATAACATTTGTCAAGATCAAGGCCATTGGAGATTATTTCTCTTATTTTCATTTTTGCACTAAAAATTCATTTTTATGTAAAAATGAAAATAAGAGGTAAAAAATGTCTGAAATATGTATGTTTTTTATTTTGCTTTTGTATTCAAATAAAATAATAAAAAACATGCAAGAAGAATAATACACTTATACGTTAATATAATATACGTGCAATTTTTTAATAGAGGCGAAGACTAAAGTTTTCGAGTATCAAGAAATGCATACAGACATAGTCGGGTTGTTGATCTTCGCAAAAACCGCGAAAGCCTAAATTACCATAATGTCCTCTGCGGGCAATGACATTCCTGGTACAGCAATTTGCGAGGCAGAAGTAGTGTGCAGGACCATGATGCCACACGCAAAACACGCCGAATGACAAATTGCATAGTACCCTTCTTTCTTTTATGGTACTTTCAGCGTAATTCGTCTACAAGGAGCGAATTACGCTGAGAGAAGATATCTTCGCCATTGCAAGTAAATTTTCATGACTAATATGGAAACATATTCGTTATTAATTAATGCAGACATTGCTTAAAGAAATAATGGGTTGCTCAAAGTTTTTAATCGAGTAACAATGTGTGCATCGAAAGCATTGAATATTAATGACTCATAACGATTTGTTAATTAATACAGAGAGACAAAACTCACTTAGCATTTCATATCTCAATATCAATCTCCAATCATTTTATTTCACACATTTTAGTTTCAATCAATACCATCAATCACAAAATACCATATTCTGCAAATCATGACGATTTAATATACGCATTAGAATCGTATTTATCTGACCACTCACATTCAGTTATCTATGTTTATGCAAATGCTCCAACAAATACGTTTCATGATAATGAAACTCGTGCGAGTTATCTACGTCTAATGGAAAAAAATTTGACCCCTATCAGGCACAACGGCACACGCGAGTCTCGCGGCGATGAGTTCGTTTCGAGCAAAAATCTCGTCCTATAATTGCCTTCCTATTTTTTTACACCTCCAGGCGACTAAGCCTAATGATCTTAAGTTGACAATGGCTGAGAATTATAGTCCGAAAAATTTAATTATATCAAATCTGCTCTACCTGCAATTCCGTATATTACACGTTATTTGGGATCGTGCCAAAAACTACATTCTCCTACGAACTCGTCCGGGAATTCGTGCAACGGTTCTTCTTTTCGGCGAAAAAATTATCATAATGCGCTCATTAATCTCACGACGAAAGAAACGACAAAAGTCGCGAAACTGGATAGTCGGAGTTCTTTCTCGAGGAATATCTTGTTCGCATTTCGTGAATCTGCGTCGGGTGTTATCTCCGCATTAGGAAATTCCCGGCCACTCGCTCGTCTGCATTTAACAAACGTCACCCGCCGGCTGTGTTACGTTAATACTTTATGATGAATGATCGAGTCGAGGCAAAAGTCTCACGTTGCATCATAATTATCATGACGATAATTCATGTGTGCGTATGTTGCAAAGGTTAATTATCAAACATAAAAAAATCAGAAAATCGAACTCTTTGCAGCCTTGGCATCTGCTATTTTTTTTTTTCCCCCTCAGATAAGTGTAAACTCTTGAGACGTAAATGAAAAACATACTTAAGAAACAAATGTCACTTATACATACTAGTTTTTTAACATTTAATAGTGAGCAGTATGCAGACTGTACACTGAAACAAAGGATTGGCTGCTGCCATCAATTAAAAATGCTATGCCATATTCAGCTAATCTTTTCTCTCAGTATAGACGTTTATTATTATCAAATATTTGTTTCTTGGTAATACACATAACACAAAATATTACTCAAATTTCTAATTTTAATCGCAATTCTGGTCACGCGATCATTTCCTAAGAAAAAGACAAAATCACGCTTTTGGTCATAATCCAAAACCTGATTCCATCCTAGGAGACAAAAGTTGGAATCCTCCTCAGAATGGGCCTCTCTAGGAATTCCTCAATCAGCTGATTCCTAGAATCTTGCGAGCGCATATTTGCTAGCCCGTCACTCCGGCTTGGCTCGATATACGGTCGCGGTCGCGCGGTTTCAAGGATACAGCAAGGTTGACACGCGCCGCCACTTACAGGCGACTAGTAAGGGGATTTGCCCGATCTCGTTCGCGCTATCGACGTATTTTCTGTTTCACGTATGCGTTACAGCATCACTTGATGATGCTGCCAAGCTTTAACATGATGAACTTTACGCCAGAATTTCGCGTGTCGACTCGAAATCAGCAGACGCATCCTCGAGCGCATGACATCATCGCCACGATATGTCTTGAAATATGCACCTTGTATTTTCATCTTTCTCGGAAATATCGTGTTAAAATATAAAAATAAGGATATCCTTGTTATTGAAAATATTATATATAGCTGCTAACAAGAAAACGCAATTGTTAAATTTGTTCGTCTTAACTCTCGTCTTCAAAGAACTCGAACTTCTTTTCAAACAGTTTGGCTCTTACAATTCCCAAAGCTCGGCTCCGTATAATGGAGCGGGCTCTTTCACAACAACCGAAAAAGAACGTTGGCATTTTTGAACGTTCCACGTGCCGGAGAACGAGCGGCATGGCGATCACGGTTTCTTCTTCACTAAAATTATACGTGATGACAGCCCATGGCATGTGACTTGCGACTGATCGAAATATTTTTGACGTTTATTTTCGCTTAGATATTTTTCTTTTTGTAAATTTTTTTGTATGTAACAAAAATAATATAAATTCATTATTAGAAAACCAGCATAAGTAGCAACATCGGCTAACACGATGTTTAATCTAACACATTGTTTCTTAATCGATGGTTTTGTATTTCAAGAACGCTAATACGACATTAACACGATGCGATGCTAACACGGCTAGACGCTTACTCGAACATTTATTATGGTGCCAGACGCTGAATAATCAACGGTCAATTCGACGAGGATTCGAATTTCTGGGATTGCCTGGAACAGATGTTGTTCACGTAAAGAAATGACAACGCCGCTAATTTCCAGACACGTCAGCGGTCTTGACCTATAAATACGAGAATCGTAATCTGAGAATCCTCGCTCATCACTTCCGTGCAATCGCGGAAGTATTTCCTACCTGTGGAATTGCAAAGATATACTTCCATTAATAAGGTGCACTATTCACATCATAATGTCACGTACCTACTTATTAATTTGTTATTTGCGTATTCGAGACTGTAACCTAAACGCTTTATCATGCGATTCTTCAAACGACACGGCGGATTGCACGAGGTGTGCATTCGTTTTCCTCTTGT